GTGTGTATTTGTGTGTGTTTGCATGTGTGGTGTAGCTTGAGGTATGGAGGCAGAGTGAGCGCCTGCATGTCCGTCTCCACCTGCAGAGGCAGAATTGGTCACAGTTTACTGGCTTGGTAACATTCGGTGCCCTCAGGGTGTTTGCAGCAGGTGGTCCAAATTGACAGAATGACTGTGACAAACACATAGTGTTCGTACTGCTTTAAAGTACATAACATCTCAACATCACATAGGACTTCTGCTTTTCTTTTTTGTAATTTGTAGATATTGTGGTCGGGCTTGTCACTTGTGGTTAGTCTGAATAGATGAGCAGTTACTTAAAAAAGGAGAAAATGTGGGTGCAAATTAAGAGGTAATTTGCAAATATGTAAATATTTTTGTTCCATATGTTTCTCGAAAATCTGTGCTATAATTATTGCTGTGTTTTGTGCACTTTCAGCTGCATCATTTGCACACACACCTGCTGAGATAGCAGGTGCTTCAGATACACCCAAACCAAATAGCTACCTGCAGTACAGACTCAGTCTGTTTTACACGTCAACCTGATTCTATTAGTAAAAAGTGTTACTGTCTATACTTTTGTGTAATTCAACAGTTTTTTAGTAATTTACTCAAATCAAGCAAACCATTTATTTTTTAGATCTTATTTTATTTGTACTTTATTTATCCTAAACCGTCGGCATTGCTTCAATAAAGATTGCATTCAGAAGCAACTTAAATAGCAGCACTGACACGAAAACAGGCTCCTCTCGTGTCATCAAATGTCCGTGGTACAGTTCATACCCGGCCCACTGAGCCTCTCCATCCGTTCCAGGTCCTGCATGTGCAGGACGCTTTGGTCGTGACCCACGTTTAGGCCTTTTTATTGGAACCAGACGTGGGTTTCTTCTCCAGCTTTTGGGGTTTAAGGAGCTGCGGTCTGTGCCAGCAGGCGGCTGTGTGACAGAGCCTGACTTGGATTACTTTTGGAAATTGAGAATGTCGGCAAAAAAGTTTCCTCGTTTGAAGGCGGCAGACAAAACCAAGTTGAATGAATTTACAGTAATAAAAGGTAGTATAAAATACTTTTATATTGCTGCCCGTCACAGATGTGCGCGGATGTGTGTTTCTGATTATGCTGTTATTTTAACATCTGGTTTTCTTTACTAGTAGGTTATTTTTCTGTATCAATTTTTGCATTAATAATGCTCCCATGATAGTACATTAATATCAGTAATGTGTAAATGGTTGGTAGACAGAAGCAGTCACTTTTCCTGACTCATTGACAAGTTCTCAGGTAGACAAACTCCTCACCTCTCCCTCCCTTTCTTCTTCTCTTCTTCTCTTGATATTTTTGTCTCTCTCTGTTGCTCTCTTGCACACACACTAAGGTGGTCAGTGTCTGGCGTATTGACAGACAGCCGCTCACACACGTCTTGCTCTGGCCGTGCGTGCGCGTGTGTGTGTGTGTGAGGAGTGTTGACAGACAGTGTGTGGGTCTGTGACAGAGGGTGTCAGCGCGGTGTCAGGGAGATGTGTTTAGTGTCACACTCTGCTGACCTGATCTCCGGTCGGACTGTCCACTCCGGCCCCGCTGTGGCTCCTTACATAACCCCCGCTGTCATTCACACGCCGGCCTGAAGGGATCCTCCAGGCTGCGTGCACACACACACGCAGTCACTTTGTGGCGTGCACGTGATGTATAGGCATCCACACTCACAGTCACTTTCCCTCTAAATCGAAAAATCAGGTGCAAGACTTCCTCACATTGACTCTTTAGTCTTCTCCTCCTCTGTAATGTATGCTATGACATAAAGCAGAAGTTACACAAATGAACAGTATGTGTGGAAATAGTCAAACAAAGTGTCAAGCTTTAAGTATTTTGGGAGAATAAAGTATGCGGCCAGCGTGTATCCTTGTTTTTCCCCAGTGAGCTTCAAGACACCTACACAATTTGTACAACTTTTATGAAGAGTTTGACTCTGCTCTGAACTCTGACATTTGCACCATGCTAATGAATGTGTCTGTATTAGCATGTGGACATCTCTGTGCTGGTGTGCAGAGATAGTGTTCTTTCAAGTCCTGCTATTCAGCACACACATTGGTGTGTGTGTGTGTGTGTGTGTGTGTGTGTGTGTGTGTGTGTGTGTGTGTGTGTGTGTGTGTGTGTGTGTGTGTGTGTGTGTGTGTGTGTGTGTGTGTGGTCGAGAGTGAGTGACCCTGTGTGCTGTGCTTTGGCCTGTGGTTATTTGGAGGTCAGTGCTGATCTGGTCTCTGCCTGCGGGAGTGGATTACCATCCTCTGCCTTATAGAGACCTGCATCCACTTAGCTGACTCTTCTGCAGTCAGAGGGAGAAGTTTCTGCCTTCCTTTTTACTCTTTTTCTTTGTTCACCACTATTTTTGGGAACACTGTATATGAGTATTATCAGTATTCTCCGTACATACCACCACATCCAAGTTATTTTGGTGAAAGCGCTCAAAAAAAGAAGAAGCTTTTATCAGTGACTTTCCTCTAAGTCCTGCTTTAGTCACCTTTAGCCTATGCCTTACATGGAGGTCGGATATTTAACCTCAGGATAGATTGCAGTGCACTGCATTTTATTTAGATTCTTAAAGTAATCTACTGTAAGATGTTTTACTTTTTTTTGTTGTTGTTGCTCTGGTTAAAGTTTTAGCTCTTCATATTGTAGTTTCAAGTATTCCTTATTGTGCTATAACTCTTACTGTTGATTCTGCATCTCTATTTTCCTTTTTGAGTCAGTGGTAAACTATTTAAAATATTGGGAAATCACTTGTATTGCGTATTATTTAAATTACTTGACTGTTATTTTTAGTTTGTTTTATAGATGTCCTTCCTCAAAAAAGCGACAAGTTCGAAAGAGTAGCAAACAAAATATAATTTATGGGATAAAGCATGCATCCTTCTTCAAGTTATTATACTCTGTGTGCTGTCAAATCTTTTTTAACTATTTTCAATATTGAAAGTGGAATACATCCAGTGTAGGAAGAAAACCACTGGAGAGCACTCCTAAGAGAAAAGGGACTTTTCCTGATAAATATTTGGGAATCTTTTCACAGATACTATCAACGTCCTGTTTCTTAGAGCCCATGGGAAGTGGAACATTTCTTTGGTGTATAGGCTGAGGTAGATGGTTATTATGACAGGCACGGATTGAATTCTGCATAGCTCCACACCCGTGAGGAGTGGACATCAAAGCAACTCTCACCAAAGCCCTCTGTAATAAAAGAGGAGAAGGATATTGATTACCAAGGGTGAACATTAGCAAATCTCTTTCTCCCTCCTTTTTTTCATCTATGTCTTTATCTGTCCATCATTTCTCTCCCTCTCTCACCATCAGATTTGCCTCCCTCTGCCTCAACTTATGCTCTCTCCCTCCCCCATCCGCCCTCCATCCACCCCTCTCCCCCTCTCTAATCATTTATTTATTGCTGATCTCTTTATTCTCCATTCTTACAGTTTAAAGGACGGTCCACACTGTGACTGTCGGACACTCCTTCGCTCGCACAGGCTGTTATCATCATTCCTTTACACCCTTTGCCGAACCCTCCTCTTCCTCCTCATCACCGCGGAGATACCTGGGGGCGGGCGGGGTCACTCTGGTCCAATCTAACGCTGTATTGATTCCATTAGATAATTAATGACCCAGGCAAGGGCCAGGGAGGAGCAAAGAGGGGGTTAGGAGAGATGGGGGGGTGAGGATGATGGGAGAGGCGAAGGGGGTGGAGGAGGGAGAGGGGGAGAAGGCAGGGACAACAAGGCCCTTGAGAGTTAGAGAGAACCTTGGGTTGGGAATGATCCAGAGTAGTCAAGGTCAACCGCAGCCGGCGCTCCGATACGGAAGCAGAATGCCGAGCGAGTCAGAATATGGAATACTGATAGAAAGAGAGAGGGGGTGGGGGGTTCTTCATGTCCAGCAGCTGTCGATTGATCAGCGGCTGAAAAATTGTGCATTAAAAAGTCTTTTGACTTCCAAATCCTGAGGTCCAACCAGGGCCGTAATGCATGATAAGTAGTATTCAGCCCTCCAAGCAGAATACCAAACTTCATCTCCCTGGATGCATCAGACACTCATTTACAACTACTCAACAACATGAAAGGCAAAGATAGAAAACTAGCTACATCAAATATTCTGTCCGTGTTATTTCAAACCATGTTTTCTACATTTTCCATGGTATCGAACGTTCTCAGTTTGATAAAATATTATTCACAGGAATAACTTACATCGCTGTTGGATTTGTTCTCCACTTTTACCTTTAGATAGAGTAAAGACATGTGGGGGTTGGAAGGAGAGAAAGAGCTGTCTACAAACTGTTATCAGAGGCGCTTTCACTTGATTGAACACTGAAAAATGACCAGAGTGACTGCTTTATACAGTTTTGTTGTAAGGTGGAAGCTGATGCAAGATTTTCCAGCTGCACCAAACGTTCTCAACCATCCAAATCTGCTCTCACCTAGCAATTCTTTGTGAGAAATGCTACTTGATTGTGTATTGGAGGTGTGGCCGATTGATTATTTTTAGCATAGATAAAAAGCAAATAAGAGATTAAATAAAAGTGTTTTTTTTCAGATATCTCCTTCTCCATGAGGCATTAACAGTGCAGGCATATTGCAAATGATGACAATATTATTCTATCAATCACTTGAGAAGCCTATGACAGTTTCATGCATGGGTCCCAAGTATGAAGTTAGTTTCAATTAGTGACGCGTTATAATCATCAGGAGCGAAATTATTCAAAATTATTTGGCCCAAAGGACATTATGATATTAAATACGAAACAATTCCCACTGTATTTCTTCACACTGTTAACTGAAAGACAAAGTGATATATGTTTGATATTCTTAAAATGACATTGATTTGATCTGATTTTTCTCAGATCAGTTAAGCCTCAAAATGTGTCAAAATTCAGAAAAATCCTCCTTACTGAGACAAGCCTCTCACCTTCCCTCTGTTTTAAACTGAACATTGCGAAGGCCCCGCCCTGCTCTTCACCTCTGTATGATGGCAGTGTGCATATGGTCTCCAGTGGGCCATGAGAGTTCCTCTGCCTCCACATTCTCAGTCTTGGCCAGCCTCTCTATGAGCCCCAGGGGTTGGGGAGATGAGGCATAAAACAACCATGTCTCTACCTAGGGGAGCTGGTGGCATGGCACTGAGGCTATTGTCTGTCTGCGTGCTGTTTGACTTAAATGTGTTCATTTGCCTGATGCCCCTGACTCCCTACGGGGAGGGGCGGCACGCGGAGAGGAGGGGCACGCTAACGAACCTCTGACAGCTGGAGGCCCTAATTAAACGTCCCTGCTGAAAATAAACAGAGTGAGAGCCAAGCATGCAGCCAGAGAAAAACGCACGGCAAACAGCGACTGCGAGCGCTCGCCGCAGTGCCCTCCGCTCTGTTGCTGCTGAGACCGTGCCAAGAGAGCATGGCTCTATAGGGTAGGGGTCTCAAGCACACACTCTTATACACACAACATACACCACACTTATGAATATGTAGCACTGCAGCAACACATTGCAAACACCTGCGGTCACACTTGATACAGGTTGATCCCTCCAGCTGTGGGCGCTGTATATTTTTACCCAAGTGCTTTCAAAAGTCACACTTTCCTTTCTCTATATATATTTCCCACTGTGCCGTTACAGAATAAGTCGACTCAGCTCTATTGAGCGAATTGTTTCACACTCTGTCTAGATGACACTTCTGACATTCAGCCTGTTGTGCTGCTAGCTAGCCGGAGCATTAGCAGTCAAAGTGGCGGGGTCCATTTGGGTGAGTGCATTAATGGGCCGCCCAACCTGCGACAAGGTTATGAGGTTGATTGAATAATTACTGTGGAGGCCCCTGTCCATTACGCCCCTGTGTCTGCCCAGATAGAGGGAGACGCAGAGAGAGATCCAGAGATAGTTTGAGACCGAACGATGTAGGGAGAGATTAGATAAGCACAGATAGGGTCAATTAAGAGATAAACATTAAGGTATGGAACGAGTGCATGTGTGGGTTTGTAAGGCAGTGACAATTGAAGAGTAAATTGTTTCCTGCCTTGTTTTTCCCTTTGATCTCTCCGTCGGACTGTATGCAGCCTAATTTGGCATGTAGTGCATTTATCCAGGTGAGGTAGAGAAGGTGACAAAGGTGAAGTTGTTAGACAGAGGTGAGCTGCCCTCTCCTCGACCCTGTCTTCTCTTCAGCAGACTCTCTGAAAAGAGGACTGTCAATGATGCGGGCTGCAAGCTTGAGAGGAAAATATATAGGTTTCCTATAGTTGAGTGAAGCCTTAGTGTTAAACATAAACCTTGGACAAAATATTCTGTCAATGAGAGGACCATGGGAAGAGGTTAAATGTAAGGCTGGAATATTAACTAGATTGATCATGTATCTTACTGACTTAAGTGCGCAATCAATTTTTAAGTAAATCATCCGAATCCCATATAATACAACTTTAAAGAGCTACAACAACCTCTGATGTCTGGACATACATTAATCAACAACAGAGCAACCGTTTCAAAAGTCCAGAGACTTTAATTAAGCCTCATGTAAATAATAAAATACTGGTGTTTTTTTGCAGAGAAGTTATATTTATCTATGACTGATTCTTTTTAATTTAGATTTTACTTTATTCATTGCCCTGCCCCAGATTTTGTTTTATAATTAAGTACTTTTAAAACTGATTTGGCTTGCACTTTTAGTTTACTGTCAAAAGGCAATTGTTAAAATGCTATCATGTAAAACTAAGATGGTGAACATGCTATATATTATACCTGCTAAGCATCAGCATGTTGTCATTGTGAGCATGTTTGCATTTTGCAATAAGCTGTCAGGTCTAAGCATCACTTTGTCTAACAATAGCCACACCGAGTTGCTAAGCAAAGCTGTAGACTCGTAGTGTAGTTGAGCATTGAGTACACTTTAAAGGTCCGTTGATGCATGTTTTCTGATCAAATGTTTAATTCTGGATTAAGAGATATTGGCAGGAAGTTATTCATATTATAAACTCTTTGTCAGTTCCCATTGAGGCCAAACTTTTCCGCCTTAACTTCTGAAGATAATTGAATGACCTAATCTCTCCTTTCAACAACTATTCTGTCTGTGTCAAATCCCTCATTGACTCTGCTGCCTTTGAAATTGATCCAAGACGTTTTCATGCATACATTTAATGTTTGCTGTTTTAGCTCAGATTTGTAAAATCATATCTGGCAAACCTGCGTAGCTTCTGCTGACCCCTCTTAGCCAAGGTCAGCATAGCCATGCTCAAACTCTAGACATAATCCATTTTCTACTGCCCCAGCAAAGCTCTGCTGACTTGATTGTGCTGACCCAGGCGGGCCAAAGAAAGAATGAGTTAAAGAGTAAGAGGCAGCTAGAGAGAGAGAGAGGGCATCTCAGGCCCAAGGGCATGACACTGCGGTGCTCGGGGCCACGCTAGCCCTTTAAATGTCAACACAGCACAGAGGAGAGGGAGGGAGAGAAACGGGTGAGGAGCAGCGCTCTGTTTGAGGAC